TTCAGGATTAATGTCCACTGATATCCTTGGTCCATTGGTTCAATCCCCTTTAAGAGTCATCCAAAGCAGTGGCTGTCGCAACATCTTGTGGAAAAGAATTTGGTAGTTTAACCTCATGCTGTGTGAAGAAGTCCTTCCTTTGATCTGTTCTGAATCTCCCACCAATCAGTAACAAGGGATGACTTATTTAGATTCTAGTATTATGGCAGAAGGAAAAAAATGTCTCCACATCTACTTTCTGTATACCATGCATAATTTTGTGCACCTTGTACATCTCTCTCCTTCCTCACTCTTTTGCTACACTGAATGATCTTAGCTGTTTAACCTTTTCTTATCAGGGAGTTTCTTCAGCTCCGTGATCCTTTTAGTTGCCCCTTTCTACACTTGCTCCAACTTTACAATAAACTTGTTTGGGTGTGGTGGGCAAACCTGTACATGGTGTTTTAAGGGCAGTTGCAACATGAATTCGTGTGAGGGCAGAATTATCTTGGCAGTCTGAATTTTCAGTTCAGGACTGGTGATCTGGGTTCTAATCTCCGCACAGCCATGGAGCCAACTGGGTGATTCTGGGCCAGTTACAGACTCTCAGCCCAGCTAACCTCACGGGGTTGTTGCTGTGGAGATGAGACTGAGAGCAGGAGGAGAATTATGTCAGCCGCTTTGAGCTCTTTCAGAAGAAAAGGGGGAAATATAAATCAAATAAATAAAAACCAAACCAATAAAATTATGCTCAACAGAGGGTTAGCCCTTTTTTACAGCAGGCACGTTTGCACCGAGCTGTTTGCTACAGCTCCAAGATCTCTTTCTCGGCCAGTTACCACCAGCTCATATCCCAATAGATTATACTTGAAGCAGGGGCTTTTTGTTCCAATGTGCATTACTTTTCCCCAAAAGGCTTCTCTAGTGCAAACAAGAATGACAACTCAATGCTAGGTGTGAGAGAGAGGTGCCACTCTAAAAAAGGCCCTGTCTTCTTTACTGTCTCTGAGGAGGGGGAGAGTGGCTGAAGAGAGCTTCGGACAAAAAACCTCAATCTTGAGCTGACTTGGATGGCAAAGGTGGTCTTTAACACATGGGTCTTAAACAGTTATAGCTTTGATGGTGAAAATCAGCCTTCTGAATGGTGCTTAGCATATGAGAAAATAACTGATGCCACCCAGAAAATGGCAAAGTTGTGGCAGTGGTGGCAGAAGCCAGGGCTTCACAAATGGCTAGTACTGGGGTCTTCAGGGGGAACCTGGAGCAGTTCTCAGAACCAACAACTAAAACAGACACTTGAAAACATCTACAGTCTTGTCCATGGACTCTTTTATGAACCATCCTCTTTCAATCCAAAGCTGTTCCAGTCAGACAAAGTGCAATACACATGATGCACACAACACATGCAACATACACAACTTTGAAAGGAAACATCCTGCATTATCTTCTTGGGTATCCCTCATTATTTAAAACCAGCACTTTAAAAATGAAATAAAACACAGTAGGAGATGACACACAGGGTTTCTTTTCAGACATCTGTCTTTTACATTTTGTCTGATTTATTAGCTAAAAGGTGGATGACCCAGTTTAAAATAATGTACTTCCTATGAGTCAGATGAAGGACTAGCTGGTCTTTTGAGTGTCTGTTTTGTTTTAATATTATTATTTAACAAAGCTGGGTTTGTCATCATCCGTTGTTTGTGCTCCTGATTCTTGGTAAAATCTCTCTCTCTCTCTTTTCTCTGTTAACTGATTTGTATGCACTGATCTGCTGTCTAAGAGTAAACCATGGTCATTTTTTCCCCTAGCCAGTTGCAAGTTTACTCTGTGGCAAGCCGTCTGTGTAATATGTGAAATGATTACGAATAATTCCTTTTTAAAAAGATCTCTTGGCTTGTGTAGATTGTAATAATTTCCTTGAAAATCTGGCAATCTAGCTCTCCATAAACACAGATATTCCATATAGAAATATTTATAGGCCTGGCAGGAGCAATATGGTGAAATGTGCTTCCCTTCACAATCCAGGGTCTCTGAGAGGAAGCCTTTACATTTACAAGCTATAAGTGGCTAGGCCTTGTTGGGAGCTTTGGATGAGGATTCGGAGGACAGGAGGTAGGCTAAAATTTGTACAACCTGTACAGGACTTCATAGTCATGGATACATCCCACTGTGAGGAAATCGCTCTTCCTTCCCCTCCTTCCTACACAAAAGAAGAAAGTGCAGTACTTCCACTAAGAGTAGAGGGGGAAACAACAACCACCATCTTGGTTTCCTCTTACATCTGAATACAGGAAACGGGTTTGTTCCAAACACAAGAGTGTTGAAACAAGCCAGGATGAAACTATGACTTCAGATATAATAGTGTTAGATCCACAGATGTAATGGGGAAGTGTCTAAACTGTGACATTTGGATCCAATCCAATTTGGATCCAATTTGCATCACGACAAAATACAGTTCCTTGGTCATGATATCAAGTACTTACAAACTTCTTGCCACAGAGAGAAACTTTAAATCTTCCCGTCAGGGCATTTGACCAAACCATGGTTTATTATAACATCTGCATTAATTCCAAAGACAATTGATTCTAACAAACCAGGATCAAGCCATATTTCCAGTGTTAGAACAGCAACTTCCATTTTAGGATGTAATGGGGAACCATGGTTTGCTCACAGCCATAGCTGGAAGTTTTATATTTCCTCCTGGTATGGCCAAAGGAGAAAGGAGGGGAGAGGAAACACATGAAACCAAAGTTTGTGCCTGTTTGTCCTCAAGCCAATAAAACAGGATTTCTTGTGAAGTCTGAACTGCATCAAATGTCACAGAACGACCACACTTTTCTGATAGATATCCAATAAGGACCATTGATGCTTTTAAATGAATAATCACAAGAGACCCGGAACTCAGAAGGAAGTGGGGCTTTCCCACTTTCCATAAATGTCATCTAAGTCTTAGAGTTGTTCAGTGTTACAGAATGTAATATTGTTATCCAGGTGATTTGTGACCAGCTAAGCTGAATGTAACTCCAACCACTACAGTTGTAGGCTTCTCAGAATGTCCATGGTTTTGTAGGCCCATGTGAAGGGTTGCTAAGGAAAGTCAAAGGGAGAAGAAGAAAAGGATGACCAGACATGAGAAGGACTGAATGCAAGAAGGAAGTATCAGTCCTTCTCATTTGTTTAGCAGAGCTAAGCGGGGCTGTCATGGATAGTACATTTTGGAGGTCACATATTCATAGCATCACCATAAACTGGAGATGACTTGATGGCCCATAACCACAAGGACTGCTGCATAGCCCCAAGAATGTGGAGGGTCTGTTGAGGCTGCACATTAAATCGCTGGTAATCAGTGTTTTTCTTGATGAGATTCAAGTTGTTTAGGCCTGTTGTGAGGTACAAACATTCATGGATATGGGCTATTTATGCTTTGAGAGAATTGAGGGGGGCAGATATGCAAAGTGTGTGTGAAGGCCACTGCATTAATCAAAGCCTGGAACTAATTTATTTGGGCTCTCCCTGTCAAAGTCCTAGTCGAGAGAGATTGTTTCCCAAGATTTAGTGCAGAATAAGACTTTCAGGAATCCTCAAAGGAACCCTTAAGATCTGTACACAGTGCTGAAATATACTTCCTACACTCTGAAGAGAGGGGGAATGCTTGTTTTTTTATGGGTGATTTATTAAGGTAATGTCACCAGAGCATCCATGGGAATCAGGCAAAGAGGTTCTGCCAACTTTTTCCTTTTCCACTGATTTCAGAAGAAAACAGCCTGAAAGCCAGATGAACCTTGTGTGGGAGACAGCTCTGGAGGTGTGCCAGGAGCGGGAATGTGCACAGGGTCTGTTCTGAAGGGGGGGATCTCTCAGATTCTGTGGGCTCAGCTCCCCAGACTTTGGTCTGTTTGTCGCAGCCCTGAGTCTGAGTTTCTGATGAGTGTGCCTGGCATTTGCAGGGTCCTTGCTAGAAATCAAGCCCCCTGCTCTGTGCAAGCTCTTCCGTGCCACATGCAGCAACCTCTGTTTCTGCTGCTGCACCGGACATGAAAGAACGTGGTTGTGCAACCTCGTTTCCACGAGCATTTGTGGACTTCGTGGACACGAGCATTCGTGGACTTCTTCTTTGCTTACCTGGCTTTCCAAGACTGGGCCGAGCATGGAAGAAGATCCCTGAATGCTAGAGGGATGGATTCCAGTGAGTTTCATCCGAACGCTAATTGGGAGAACCCTATAGACACCCAGTTGCAGCTGGAGGGTGTGGCTCCATTGTCCTACTCTTATCCTTGTAAATCAGTAGCTTGCTAGAAGAAAAGAAAGCATTTGAAAATATACTATTTGATAGCTTTAGGCAAGCTGCTTTTTTAGCCTTAGTCTTTCCCCAAGCTCCACCTGTACATTGTCATTATGAGGATTAGTATACAGAACTAGCTTGGAGGGCTGATGTAAGCTTTCCTGATGTCATGGGTGTAAAATTCTTTGAAATTTTGGAGTGCGGTATATGAACATTATTTATTAGATTTTATCCTGCCCTATTAGCCATAAGACTCCCGTATGCAGCTTCATTCACCTTACAGCAGTCTTACTTGAATCATGTATCAGTGCCAATTGGTTAATCAATGCATTACATTTGCATGCATTTGACTGACAGAAAAGCATGAGTTTAAAAGCAAAAGCACACTCGGTAAGCACGGATGTACTTTCTGGGGAGGTAATAGGTGTATGGTTGTACCTCTGACAACACCAGGTTGGGTGAGGCTGAGCTAGATGAAGAATTGTTGCCATCACTGCTCTGGTCCATCACTCCGGACAAACATTGGGTTCTCTCCAGAGTTAGTCCAACTTAAGTCTCATTTATTCATCGCTTTAATTTTAAGCAATTCTAACATTAGACATAGCCCCTTCACTGCCATTTCTGCTGGAAAGCTGGGTTACAAATAATAAATAATTATGAAATCAATGATTTTCCCATCTGTTGACTTCATGGCCTCTTCCTCTCCTTGTTCACAAGTGCTTCTTAACATGCTTTTCAGTGCCCAACGACTACCAAAGCAACATTTGGCGTTCATATTAAAGTTGTAGGAGATTGGACAGGTAGGTGAAAACAACACTTATTTGTTTCTACTCAGAACTTGGCTTTGAAATCACTTTCACTTGGTGGCATCAGCCTACACCAGAGTGCAGTCTGGCTTGCTGGGCTTCCCAGGAGGCCATGCGCCTCTTCCCCTCTAGTTGGTTCAATGCGTGGTCTCCTGGTATTCCCTTTTCCCTTGCCCCCACACCAACAGTGGGTCATGGCCTCAAGAACCTTCCCAGAAACAGAATTCAGTCCTTGAACTGGAGAAGGTGTTTCATTCCTGATCTAAATTCAGTTTAAAGTCAAATCTTGTCCAAACCACAGTTCCGATCCCCCCTCCCCTGCCATTTTTACTCTTCTATGGCTGTGCTCATTACTTGATTGGGTCATGCTCTCAGCGAACACATTATTTTTAATCCAGAGAGCCTGCACTGGCCATTAATTATGAGCAATGTGTCCATGTGCTGGCTTTTTAAAAACGGTGAATGTGTTGCATGTGTGCATAATTTTCTGCGCAGTAACCTACTTACCTTCGGGCCACACGTGGCGGCTGTGGCAGAAATGCTGAAAATGTGCAGTTGTTAGATAAGGGGAATTTAATAGCAGCCATTTGGTCGGCTTCCAGGTTAGTTAACACCTATGTCACTCTGAGATTTCGGAGCGCTTTCATGTTCTGATATGCTTCTCCTGGACTGTGAGAGCATCCCTACAGCCGACCGAGGTCCTCTGGGATTCCACCGAGAAGAGACTTCTAATTTTATTTTTGGCATGGGCTCAGTATTGAAGAAAGCATTGACTAAAACCAGCTTAAAATTTGGGCAGGGGTTGGAAGAGAAGTATACTGAAAGCACAAATAATTGGAAGTTAAACAACATGACTGGCTGGTTGTGACCGTGTGTGTTTGTTTGTGATCACTGTTTTGTTGGTTTGCTTTGTTTTAATGATTGCTGGATTATATTGACAGTGTCTAATGTATGTAGTGATAGTCTCAACCCATATCTCACTGAAACATTTTAATAAATGCACCCATACAGGCTGAGGGAAAACAAATTTCATGACCCAGAATTTGTTTCTGAGGGTTCTTGGACAGCTCTTTCCTGTGAGCTGTGGAGGTTTGAGTGTTGCACTGGGAACCCGGGAGATCTGGATTTAACTTGCCGCTCAGCCTCAAAGCTCACCGGGTGACTTTAGCCAGTCACAGGCTCTCAAGCCAACCTATCTCATGGGGTTCCTGTTTTGAGGACCACATGGCATCTGCCTTGGATTCTTCACAAGAGGGAAAAAGGTGGGATATAAATGGGATGTAATAATAATAATACGAGCCTCCTCCCTCACTGGGCACGTTCACACGTTCTGCTAATCCATGCTGCCAGTAAGCCATGGCGGCTTAGTCGTCATATGGACAACCCATGGAGAATTCCACAGAAATGTGTATTTATTACATTTATATGCTGTCTTTTCCCTTTCAAGTATTTATTATTTATTATTTGCATTTATATACCACCCTAGTAGCTCAGAGCAGCTCACATCCTTCGCCTTCTCTCAGTTTCATCCTCACAACAACCCTGTGAGGTAGGTTGCCCTGAGAGCCTGGGACTGGCCCAAAGCCACCCAGTGGGCTCCATGGCCAAGGGGGGACTCGAACCCAGATCTCTGGGGTCCCAGCCCTGCACTGTTAACCACTACTCCAGGCTGACTCTCAGCAGATAATTGGACATGCTCGTTATCCTGCTTCTTATGTCGTTCACACTGGGTAGCCCAGGATAGCAGGTTTCTCTGCTCCTGAGCTGAAGCTTAGCCAACATGGCCCACGGCCCAGGAGCCTGTCTTTGTGGGGCTAACATTGATATGCAAGTGCAGCAATGAAACACAGAAACAGAGTGAGTCAGAAGGGGTCTCCCAGGCCATCTAGTCTGACCCCTGGCTCCAGCCAGCTCTGCTCACGACATGCCCACCATGCACCTGGGGAAGTCCAGGAGGGGCCAGCTTGTGCACCCAGACTGCCCGGCTCTGAGTCCCCGAGTCTTTTCTTCATCAGTTGAATCCTCCTTCAGGTAGGTCAGGGCAGCCCGAGGGATGCAACCAAGCAACCTCAGTGTAGCAGCCCAATTTCTATAAAGCTCTCTGCCTCTGGAGTCCAGGCAGGTACCAACAATGTGTTGGTTTCAATGCCTCCTGAAGTCATCTTAATTTCAAGAAGATGTCCTTGACTTGACCAGCCATGGTTTTATTGGTGTGCTATGTTTTACTTACTGATTTATTCTCTTATCTTTTTTACCTCTCTGGTAAAAGATACCCTGGTATCTGCTTAGATGTAGATTGGCATAAAAATCTTGTAAATAAATAAATAAATAAATAATATGATGTGTGTTTTTGTAGAGTAATGATCAAGCTCACTGGGTGCACTGCAAGCATCCTCATAACATGCTTTAGCATCCTGGAATTAGCAGCTGAATGGTATCGGATATATTTTCATGTGCTCTGGTTAGCGTCACGTTTGGGCTAAAGTTTGCTAGGCATTCATGAGGTCTTCCTGTGCATCAGGTGCCCCTGCTTCCCCATGCCTAGCTGGATAGTTTGAGCTGCAATGTGGCTCTGTAGGCTTTGCCACGAAGGCTGCCTTGATTTCCGATTCTGTGTCTTCATTTGTTCTGCTTCCCTTTGCCGCTCCCTTCGGCACTGTGGCATGTTTGCTTTCAGGCTGTCATTCCAGGCAGCCTGATTGGAAGAGAGCAGAGAGCAGAGGGCGCATCTCTGCTTTCCAAGAATAAAGCAGCAAGGAAAACAAACCAGTAACATCAACATCGCAGCAGTGAACCATAGCATCTCCTTCCCCTTTCTCTCCTTCCAAATATATGCCATGCTTTTATTAAATAGTAAGTCAGTTCTGCTAGAAGTGTGGATGGCATTACAAACAGGAGTGCAATTTGGTGCTCTCGAAAGTTCTAGACATTAAAAGTAAGGATGCACAAGCTCATTGCTGCAGGCAATTCATGCCTGTGTCCCCTCTGCAAGCCCTGATTATTAGTACTAGAATTATATTGCCTTTATATCCGGCCTTTTTCTTCTTGTGAGCAGCCCAAGGTGAGTTACATAGCCCTATTTTATCCTCACAATAACCCTGTGAGGTAGGTTGGGCTGAAAGGGAATACTGGCCCAAAATCACTCGGTGAGCTTCATGGATGAATCGAACCTCCCAGGTCCTGAGCCTGACATCCTAATTGTGATACTATGGAGGCTTGTGAATGTGATCATGAGCAAGTGTGCCATTCTTGGAAACCTTCTGAATTTTCCAAGCTTGCATTTGCATTCACAAGTGTTCACCTGGCGAGCATGCACTTCCGCAAGTCTGCATTGCCATGCAGAAGCCACACCTTCATGCTTTAGCCTGTGGGTAGAAATGCAGAGTGCGCATTGGAAAAAAAGGTGCATTGGGAAAAAGGTGCATTTTTCAGGTTAAAAAATGGGCGGGGGGGGGCTGTGGGGAGAGATGTTAATGTTTGGAAGGGAAAACAGAGCAACATGAGCATTGAGCTTGTCTATCACTTGTTCGACTATCACTGGAGCTTGACAATCACTTGTTCTTTCTTGCCTTGCTGTAGAACACAACAGTGTTGATGAAAGAGGTCAGTTTTATACATGCATTCTTTCTTCCATGGGAAAGAGACCCTGATCCCACCCATTTCCTGATTTCTGCCTCATACTGAATTAGCTGCTAGGGTATCCTGCAGAGAAGATAATTATTATTTATTATTAAAAGCATTCCTATCCCATCCTTCACCTTCTCAGGATGGCAACACAAGAATAAACATAGAAACAGAGCAAGTCAGAAGGGGTCTCCCGGGCCATCTAGTCTGACCCCCGGGTCCAGCCGGCTCCGCTCACGACATGCCCACCATGTGTATGTCCAGCCTATCTTTGAACACCCACACCGATGGGGCCTCAACCACCTCCTGTGGAAGCCCATTCCATACCCTCGGGGTCCTAACTGTCAGGAAGTGTTTCATCAATCAAATAACACAAAGCACAGCATCAATCAAATTACAAATAAAACCCAGAAAATAATGAGAAAATAAATAGGTTTTGGCTTGGTGCTGAAATGAATAATGGGCCAGCACCAGGTGTACTTCTCTGGGGAGCAAGTTCCAAAGGTGGGCCAGGCCCTTATCTTGACCACAAAAAGATCTCGCAGGCTCTCCCGGACTCCTCCAATGGCTTGGTACCTGACCTCCTTCCACTGGAGATGGCAGGAACCAAAAGGTACTGTCTTCCAGTTGAGATTCCCCGAAATGCAGAGAGAATGGAAATGTCCGGTGCTCTGGTGCATTGTGGGTGCAGAGCACTCTGGCAGCTGCCACAAGATCGTTTTTGCAGTGGCTTTCAGGGAAGGTTCTGATGTGCAGGATTAGGCCTGGAAGCACATGGCTCCCTCACGTGGTCCTTCGCAGCCTGCAGTCATTTAGTGGTAAAAGAAGGACCCCAGAGCCATGCATCATTCTGACGAGCCCGAGGGATGTGATTAGAGGGGCTGAAGAGCTGGAGCACATAATCCACAGCAACCACAGTTTGACGGCGTTTGATCCAGGCCACTGGGGAGCTGAAGGGGGGAATAAAATACAGTTGTGGCTTCTGAGTGACAATGCCCACTAATTAGCAAACCTCAGTTAATTGCTGGTGAAGGGTTTTTTTTTTTAAATAAATCTAATGAATGGTGGCAAACAAGTCAAAAGCAAGCAAAGAGCCCCTCCATACCTCCCTCAAACTCCCTTCTGCTAGGATTCCACTTCCTTTCAACGTGAAACTTAGCCAGAGTGAGCCCCAAAATATGAAAAACATTGAACAAGTGACATTATTTAAAACAGGGGCATGGAGACTCTTTCAAGCAAGGGTTGGAATCCAGGTACATGAAGCTCATGAGAACTGCACGGCAGGGCAAAGCACAGCAAATGTCAGCCTGAGGATGCAATGCTATGCACATTTAGACAGAAAATACCTTGCAACTCCCAGCATGCCCCTGCCAGCCACGGGGCATGCTGGCAGTTGCAGGCCTGTCCCTTATAACCTTGCATGGAATTGCGCCCGCATGGCCAGTAACTGTTAAGAGAGTCATTTCGTTACTGAAAAGCCAGGAAAGCACTAGCAAGGGAAAAGGGGTGCGAGCAGGGGAAGGGGTGGTTATGTGGGGGAACCCTGGTGGGTTGCACTTGACCCCTGGTCGCTCTGGATTTGGCCCGAGGTTCTGCAGTCCTGCCTTCAAGCAGCTCAGTGTGTGTGAGCAATGCACCCCACGGTCTCCCATTTGGTGTCCCCAAATGTTGGTCATCATGCCAAGTGCATCCCTCCCAGGGCAGCTCTATTTTGCCACAGTCACCCAGGTCTAGTCACATTCAGCCCAGGTCACTGCTTCCTGGACACCTCAACTGGTTGGTAACTGGTTGTAAACTAGGACCAGCCTGAAAGAACAAAGCCTGTCCCAACTTCCGTGCATGTTAGAGGGCTGAGCTGGAAAATCCCCCACAACCTCCAGGCTGCAAGGCTGGGGAGGGGGATTTCAACTGTTTTGGGGAGTTCCTGAGTTAGACCATAGAGCTAAGGCAGCCGAGTCATGTCAATACTGGCTGGCTACGTAGATATTCATAGTTTCTGTGCTATTCTCCTAATGCATCCATTTTTCTATGCAATTTTGCCTAATACACACTTTTTCTGAGCAGTTTTCAAAATACATTTTGAAATGTTTTAAATATTATTTGCCCTAAGATACAGGAGTCCCATTTCTGCAAAGGTCAGCTCACCCAACTGTTCATGCATTGCTGATCTTTCTTGCTTCTATCAGGCCATGGGCAGCAAGTACCATTGGTGGGAACAACCCTTACCCTCCCTGAATCACTGAACACGTAGGTAAATTGCTTGCTTACGCATAGGGTTCGATTCAACGTTGGCTGTCCAGCAGCAGAGCAAACTCTCCTGGTGGAATGGATCTTCCCACCTACAAGCCCCGTGTGTCTCCTCAAATAGTGCTCTGGAGAGTTGGGGGACCCTCCAAAGCAAATTTGGGGAGCAAATGGGGAACTGAGCAAGGAGCAGTTCTGCTGTGTGAACAGAAGGCATCAGACACAATGTTGGACTGATAACAGTGCTAGCCATATTTGGTTCTATTTGTTCTGTAGTTGGGGCATGCGATTTGCCCATCCACACTTCTCTTTCTAAAGAACATTTGCTGCTTCTCTAACTCCTGCTCCAAGGAGTTCTCTTTTCATTTCTTTCTTTCTTTCTTTCTTTCTTTCTTTCTTTCTTTCTTTCTTTCTTTTGCATGGGGGGGTTGTTTTATTTTGTTTCAAAGATAGGTTTCCTAAGTCACAAACAATTCTCATTGCATAATGTTTCAGTCTTGGGATGTTAACAGGAAGCAAAGACTCGATCTTGGGAAAATGTGTTGGGTTTTTCCATGACCATCCTGGCAGACTACCCAAGTTTATGTTAGCAGGAAGTTTAATTAGAATCCAGCTGGGTCTGATTGGTGAACGCTGCCTTGTTTGCTCCAGTGGTGCGATTGGAAAGTAAAATTACAGCAAGGCTTAGGGTGTTCTGAGAATACAAACAGATAAATAGTGGCAATGTCCGGCTTTCCTTATCCCATAAAGCTTTCTTCTGTCTCAAGCAATTCTTTATGTGTTGCTTTTTTCAGTCACTCATTCTCTTTCTACTTAACTATCATCTATCTAGTCAGAATAATGTGAAGACAAAGGATAGGTCTTCCCACTCCTGTTTAATTATTATAGGGCCGTTGTAGTGACCACACGGTAAGGGTAACACAGTTGAATTGCATGCTGCCCTTCTAACCAGAAATTTGTGTGGGGGTTCTTTGCCTTATATGTGGAAAACAACTCAACAGATTAATCTCAAACTTGGCAGGATAGGAAAAGTGAGGTTGAGAATGGTTTGTGCCAAAGGCCAAAAGATGGCATATATATCTAGGAATTTAAATTTGGCTGAGTCCTCACCAACAGTTTGAACAGTATTGTCTGTCACTGTTTTCCCAAAAGACTTAACATGAGGTTTACATTGGAGTAGCATTTATCTCTTTATGCAACAGCTTTTGCAAAACAATTTGTCATTTCAGTAAGTTGTGTATGTTCTGTCTTAGAAGAAGGTTAGGGTGGGGTTTTTTAAAGCTTTGAAAAGAAAAGAAGAAGAAAGTACATTTTTGCCCTATTTTGGCATCTGAAGTTGATGAAGTTGTATCCACAGGACAGGAGGGGGAATAGTGTGAATATCACCAGGACAAGAGGTTTTGGAAGGAATTGAGTCACAAGGTTTCCATAAGCCAAAGTTGAGTTGATGGCACATAATGATATTATGGCTTTATGGTTACCAAGGAGACAGGAGTGTTTTCCCACTATACGAGGACTGGCTCTTCCTTGTATTAGTACCATGCAATGCTATACTTCAGGTGCATGGATTCCATGGGTTTATCCCAGTGAACTAAGAAGTCTGGGAATTTGGTTCACCACTTTGCCACTGCTGCAAAGAAGTGGGAAAGCTGAAACCAACTACAGCATAGCACACTTTCCAAGTGCATTTTGACTATATAAGCAATACAATTCACAGCTGGACCCACGAAATAAAAGGATGTGCTTTGTTTCACACACACACACACACACACACACACACACACTTTTTATTCTTCAGAACCCACTTAGCTTTGCCTTTCTTTTTCTTGGTTTGATTACTTATTTTGTTTCCGTGCTTGGAAATCTCAGTGCCTTTCTTTCCCTTGATAGTGGTGGTTTTCAGAGTGTTGAAGAAGGTCATGGTTTGGCCCATCATACTCTGTTTGTACTTTTCAACTTAAAAAAAAAAGAAATCTTGATTATTTTGCATATATGGCTAAGTAGGATAATCCAGACAAAGCAATTTAGTTTAGTTCCAGAGTATCACTTTGCAATAAACCCAGTGCAAATGTTATATACCGTTTTTCCAGAAGGATTTCAAGAATGTTTAATATTCTCATGGAGGAAAAAAATACCAGAGTCATAGCACTAAGCTGCCATTTACATTTGTGTTCTGCCTTCCTGATTTCCCACACTAATATCCCACTTTGTATAATGCACGCTCAGTGTCATTTTTCTAGTACTTATGCATTTTCATCAGGTGCCTGAAATATATGGTCTGTCTTGATGTCCTGCATCATGGTGTTCTGTCATTCCAGGAATTGTGTGGATGCCTAGTTGTGGGTACGAGTTCACACAGTGATGGACTTTTACCACCCACTAACAGCAATTTCAGGGTACCACCTTGGCGATTAGCCTCCCTGTAAAAAATACCATCTCCATCTGTTTCCGAAGGGATGAATTTACACTGCTTCCATCAGGAAAAAAGAGCAAATCTTTATTTGTGAAGCAATCAAACGAGCTATTCCCTCCACTTTTTATTTCTTTATTTGGCATGGGGTGAAGGTATAACTCAGCTAACCTCTGAACTAATCTTACTCAACTAGGAATGGGGATTTCTCTAGCTGAGAGACAGTGGCTGATCACACCGTAGCTGGGTTTGCACAATCATCAGGAAATGAAGTCGCAATGCCGGAGTACTTTTGCCGTGGACAGCTTGCTGTGTGGACTGAACCCAGTAAGCTGTGCTGCAGGGTGGCTTTGAAACTGCCCCAGAACACATGGCGTCTTGTAGGGTTATGGGATGGCTTTAAAACCACCCACCACCGTTCATCATGCCAGGCTAGGATGGATTGCCAAGCTGCACATAGCAAGGGTAATTCGGCAAATTGTGTGATGCACACCTAGCATGATGATTGTACAAACTTAGCCAGTGAGTCTTACAAATGAGTGGGAATTTCAACACTGGTCTCCTCACTCATGGGCTAATGCTCTAACCAGTGTGCAGCCCCATTTCTGTTTAGGGAATACCTGCTACTAGTGCAGGCATGGTTTAAACCTTGTTATTGCTGTTTAGATTTGTTGCATGTGTGATCAGACCTGGCCTTCTGTGGCAAAAGATTGCAATTTTTTAATGTACAGATTCAAGTATATCAGTTACCCAACCAAAACACCTTGCCTAACACCATATATACATCTATCGTGCAATAAAATATCAAATAGAATAAGTAGTCCATAACATCAAATGTTAACTCTCTTCCCACCAATAATTCAAGAAGTAACAAACCAGTTCTTAACACAATAATTTCTGCCCCAAAATGGCTTTCCCAGTACTCAGTAAAAGGGTTTAATTCCCCCATAAATGTGGGTTTCCTTTGCTTACCATCTTTCAGTCTAACTGCCTTGTGGATGTTCAAGAATTGTGCAATTTGACAGACTTTAGTAAACCTCCTTCTCCTCCCCCTTCTTCCCCACTTCCACCACCAACATGACCCTCATCATCCTCATCGTCGTCATTCTGACAGAGAGATTTCGGGATCTGTTGCTGCTTCATTCCGACTGGGATGCCGACATTCTGCCCATCTTTCAGCAAAGGCATTATCCTAAGTAAGTAAATGTTACCTTCTTCTTGGGAAGAATAACTTTAAAACAAGAGTGGGTTTGCTGGTTGTTGTCTAGATGAGCAGGGTGCAAAAGAGCAGAGGAAGGGAACCTGCATTTGCAGCCTGATGGAGGAGCTTCGCGGATCGGCATCTGGCAGTGTCACACTTCACTTGACACTGTGCATTGAAGCGTGCGGGTGTCCTGTCAGGCTAATCCCTCTTTGTGTCTCATGGGATTCTGTCACTTGTGCCTGATGGATGGGTTCGTGTGGATTTTTAACGAGGCGTCTGAGGGAGACGGGTGGGTGGCGAAGCTACACGCAGCTGCTGCTGAGGCATGCGAGCCAGCCAGACTAGCAGCCCTGTTTGGTGGCAACCGAGCCATAATGGTGGCTCACTCTTAGAAGAAAGACCAGCGGGGGCGGGGGGGGGGCAGAGTGCAGCCATTAGGTTGGTTTGTTCCCTTCCTTGTTGCCTGGATTGGCAAAGCGTCATTATTTGTTTTTCGGCGCCAGGCGAAGACCTTTTTATTTAAACGTCATTTTAATTGTTAACAATATTTGCTTATTTATCTGGCCAGGGCGACTTCTTTTATATTGTTATTTATTTTATATGGTTATTTTGTATTTTATTGTATTTTATTTTGTGCTGTGAGCTGCCCCGAGGCTTTGGCAAGGGGCGGCATAGGAATGTTTTACTAAATACAATAAAAATAAATAAATTATGATGTGACAAGGAGGAGACAGTCCTTTGCAAAAAGTTCCTTTTTTCTTCCTGTAGTGCAAACGTGTGCCTGAGAACGGTCAGTCTGGATATGCTGACAGTGATGGGGGCAAGGTTTTGATCTCAGCACTCAGCACTTGGTTTTGTCCCACAGGAGCACATCTTTCACCTATATGTGAGGAAATAAAGCACTGCACCCTACTGGAGTTGTTGGTGAAATCTGTCTGTTTTCCCTGGTGACTGCTAGCTTTCTGAAAGCAAAATTGCCTCTTCTGCAGATCCCTTCATCTGCAGGACCCCTGGCTGGGAGAGTCTTCTTTGCTAGATTATGAAGGGGGCTGGGATCGTGGCTACATCTGCGTAATCTATGCATGCATATATATTATGATTATTGTTGCTGGTGACATTATATGCCATCAAGTCATCTCTAACTTACGACCCTACAAATGATTTCCTTCCAGAATGCCCTGTCCTTGATAGCCCTGCTTAGCTCTTGTAAATTCAAGGCTGTGGCATCCTTTATGGTGCCTATCCATCTCATACTTGGTCTTTAGATGCAGTTTTTGAAATCACTGTTATAATTTAAATTGAAATACAGTACATCTCACCATTACTTCTGTATAGTCTTCCTGGGAGTACAATTTATGGATTACAACAGTATTGGCCTAGATTCACCTTCCAACTTTTTTCTGGGCACAATTCAAGGTGCCGTTTGTTGTTGTTGTTCTTAAAATTGTTACTGGTAATATATATGCATAGATATATGCTCACATATAAGCACACAGATATTCAAAGTTCCTGCTTCCCGTGATTAATGCAGGTTGAGGTAGGTGAACCAAAAGTTGGGATGAGTGTCGAGACAAAGTTGTTGTCGGTGGTCTGCTCCCTCACAGGACTCCAGTGTTGTGAGGTCTTCAGTCCATTGTGTGATGGAAGGATGTGATTTGCTTCATACCATGAGTCTCTTAGACACCCTAAGGCTTTGTATAGTCCGCTTGTGGCGGCCACAGAAGAGCTTCCAGGATGCGGAAATGTAATTCAGCAATACAGTGACATATTTGCACAAAACTGATGAACTTAGGATAAAGATTGTGTGTCTGACAACTTCTAACCAAAAAGGGGCCTCCACTGGGTGTTTACACATCATGTGTACTAGCAATGATGCTTCTGTGATCCTGCATTGCCAGCAGTTATTATAAGGGGTCCAATATGCACAAAGGGGCAGCTTTTGCTATATAAGGCGTAGTTTCAGGTCAGGGGAGATGAACTGTACAGAGGATGTAGCTATTTTCCACTGGTTTAGTTGTCTGTGGCATTCTATTTTCCATACCAGTCTTCTCTGAGTGGCTGGACAGCAAGCTGGTTGTATGCTAAGAGTCATTTGTGAATATGTATTGTTGGCTTGGTTGTCTCTGAAGAGCTAGCCAAGTCCTCCAATAATGTTGGAGATCCAAGGCAGTCAATATTCCGGGGCCATATAGGGAATGGAACATGTGTTTTATCTGAAGGTGTTGCCAGTGTGTTTGACCTGCAAAGTCCTGAATTGTTTAGGGCTGGCTGATTTGGAAGATCATCTCTATCCATGATCTTTATCACTGTTATTTATGCTCTGTACCCCTGAAGCTAGATTGGAGGGTAGCCAAGACAGAGTCTTTTCTGTGGCAGCCCTTCAATCACAGAACTTGTGGAGAGGTTCAGTTGGCTTCCTCCCTATTAAGCTTCAGGAAGCCAACAAAGAATGTTCTTTTCCATCAGGCTTTTAATGGCGGTTAAGTTTTATGCTGCTCTTCGATTTTATTGCACTGCTGTTATTTTTATTCCTGTGCTTATTGCTTCTTCTGGAGTTCACATTTTCACTTTTAGTTCTTCATGGTAGTTTACTGTATACCACAATGGATATTTGCTAAGTGGAAAAGCAATTCATAGAAGCATTAAATGAATATAGAAAAGTCTTGTGAGGTGGCAAAGCCCAAATTCTGTTGATTCCTATAACATCTCGTCTCTTAAGACTTTGACTAGAGATCATATGCCATTTCCTTAGAACCATCAACAGCTAAAAACCTTAGAACACCCTTGGGCTCTTGTGCCTGTTGAACCCAGTACTGCATACTCTTACTGGGAGCAGCTTTCTGTAGTTTCAGGAAGAGACGGATGCTTGTCTTCACTTTCTCTCCCCTCCCCGGCCATGGCGGATGCCAAAGGTAAAGCCTGTGTCTCTCTACCTGCAAACCATGGTCCTTACCCCAAGGTATGACTTCTCCTTCAAGGATTTTCTTGATTAGTCATTGTTCTCCAGGTTGAATTTGATTGTTTCTGTTATGACTTCTCAGGAGATTCAGTGTGTTAACCAACAAGCCCATTTTGAATTAATGGAAGTACTAGTTCCTCTTTACTCAGCACTAGTCAGACCTCACCTGGAGTCCTGTGTCCAGTTCTGGGCCTCACTGTTTAAGAAAGATGCAGACAAGCTGGAATGGGTTCAGAGGAGAGCAACAAGGATGATCCAAGGATGAAAAACAAAGCCCTGAGAGGAGAGCTTGAAAGAACTGGGCATGTTTAGCCTGGGGAAGAGGAGACTGAGGGGAGATAGTCTAGCACTCTGCAAGGACTTAAAAGGTTGTCACAAAGAGCAAGGACAGGATCTGTCCTGGATTATCCCAGAGTGCAGGGCATGGAATAATGATATCATGTTACAGGAAGCCAGATTTTGACTGTACGTCAAGAAGCAGTTCCTGACTGTTTGAGCAAAATGACAATAGAACCAGTGATCTAGGGAGCTTGTGGGCTCTCCCACACCAGAGGCATCCAAGGTGCAACTGGACAGCCATCTGAGAGGGCAGGTTTAACTTGGGAGTCCTGCGCTGAGCAGGGGGTTGGGCCCAGTGGTCCCCTGGGCTCTTTCAAATCTACTATTCTATGATTCTATGATGAGGGACAGCATGAACAAGAGCAAAGCATGAATGTTAATGCAGACTCAGAGTTATGCACAGTCAGTAATCAGTTCATATAAGTGTAGAATTTTGGTATGAAATCTTATGATGGGAAATACAGGCTTGAAGGAATATCTGCATGGTGAACTCTTGAGAATTAGGACTGGGCATAGGAAGATGCTGAATGGTCTGTTGGCTGAGGATCCCTCCTTGCCCTTCTTAGCCCGTTCCCCCTCCCCATGATAAAGAAAAGCCAAAAGCAAACATATCCTTTTGTTTGCATAGCCCACATGGTCAAATAATCCAACTTTTCCTGGTGCAAAATGTGGATTATGTTATATATTATAACCTATGTTAGATATATGATATTTTGTTATAAATAATAATATATGATGTTATAGATTTGACCCTCCCCCCCCAGTTTTATATACAGTTTTGACATGCATTTACCAAAATACTTATGGGAGTAATCCTAGGAACACTTGTGGGTAAGTCCCTGAAGTCCAAGCTAGTTCACTTAGGACACTTTTGCGTTTTCATCCTCATCACTTCATCATTGTTGTTACTGCTGTTGTTATTATTTCTTCATGCTACCACCCTGACCCTTGGAGAAAGTTACAGAGCATGGCCAGGGGGCTTGTGGAGTCCTCGAGGAGTTGAATCATGCCTAAATTCCACTGGACCTCGGGCCTCTGATTCTCTGTGCTAATCAGAGAACAAGGCAGGGAATGCCGGTGGGGCTTTGGCACGGGAAGCAAGGGTCAGGATGGTGGCCACTGCGATCCGCCGTAGTGCCGCAATGTGGAAGGCGAAGGAGAAGAGCACCGTATTGCATTTCCCCAGGTGTGGTCACCACGGCTATACGGAAACAGGCCAACTGTGATGGTGTCCAACCTCCAGGAGCAGTACGGTGCTTTGTCAAGTTCATTGCTTCCACCTTCCAACAAATTTTATTCTCCCTCTTCGACTGCTCAGGCATGGATTTTAAAATCTTGGCCTTAATTAGCAACATGGTCCTACACATGTCTACTCAAAAGTAAGTCCTAAGTAAGGCCTGCCTTAGTCCCAGGTACGTGAGCATGGAATTGCAGCTTAAGTAGCATCATTAACCGTGGAATGGTTCTCCCCACCCCACTTAAGTTGCCTGGGAAAGTAGGAAGGCATTTTCGCCCAAGATTTGAGAGAACCAGTGAAGTGGAAAGATGCAGGGATGTTGCTCCAGATGGCACAAGCTGAAGGAAAGAAGGTTCTTCTGTACTAAGCTGGGTCAAATTGTGTGGAGGATCAGGGTAGGGGGAAGCCAGCAAGTGTTGTCCATAGGAAACCTGGGAATGGGCAGAGGAAAGGGATA